CCCTCACGTACTTTCCCAGATAGATTTATTTTTAGAAAAAGTGCTATCATTGTAAATCGAAGCAAAAGTGCTAGTAGAAAAGTTGTGCACAAAAAAAAGAAATCGCAATATATTGTTATTATATTTCGTACATTTTCTCGTTTTTCCTCCTTTTTTTTTTAGTTTTTCTCATTTGATGAAAAAACTCTTTAGATAATCGAAAAATGACCTCCCTAAAGTACCTCCCTACATTGATTTTATTTCAGAAAAGGTGCTACAATTAAAAAATAGAGTAATATTTCTGGTAGAAAAGTTACACACAGATAAAAAATAAACATCTTTATAAAGCCATAGGTTTCTTCGTTCCACTAAGAATCTAAAAAAATATATTTATTAAGATTTTAAGACTATATTTGTAAGCCAGTAGCCTTATATTAAAATGGAGAGCAGTTTAAACAATTTATAAGATGAATGAATGTAATTTTGAACTAATAAAAATAAAATTAATTAACATTGTTTTTTTTTTTTTTAAATCGTCCAAGGAAACAAACTTAAAAAAATTAGTTGCTATAGGGGAAGAGGATCCTTTCGAAAAGTAGGCACTAAAAATATCACTAGAAGATATCATAAGGTGCTAAAAATTTAAGCCATAAAATTGATGAGTTATTCAAAAATGTCAAAAAAATAATATCAATCTTTGAAATGTCCATAACTCGGTTTTTTTTAAACATAGAAAGTTAGTTTTAGTATTAAAATTCATACAAAAATAAGAGTAAAAATATTTAACCAAAAAGGGGTGGAGTTGCCACTTAAAAAAAAGTTAATATGCGCATGCGCGAAATGGCATGGCATACAAATTGTTTAATTAGTCAAATAAGTTATAAAAAATTTGGATAGTATTTGGACAATATATGGATAGTTTAAAATCAGGAGTAGTGTGTTGTGTATTTCAGATGGATAAACCGATAGCTTATGCATCTAGAAGTCTTAATAAACATGAATGTCAATGAGTGCAAATTGAAAAGGAAATGTTGGTCTTTTTATATGTGTGTAGGAGATTTCATGAATATGTGTATGGAAAAAGAGTAACTGTATATACTGATCATAAACCTTTAGTGTCGATCATAACAAAAGAATTACATACAATTGAGAAATAGTGTTCGAATAGTACAGTGCCAGTCCAAGGGGGGGGGGGACAAACGGTGCGGCCACGATTGAGCAAGGCCCCGCAAATTATGTATTCCGAATTTCAGAATATCACTTTATCCATAAACAATCATAATAATTTTGTGTCAATAGTATGCAAATATTGCGACCCGTGTGTTATCGACGAAAATTAAGATGTTACCAATTATATATAATTAAACACATTGTTATTGGCTTGAAAACACTCAAACATATTTAATCAGCATCGAACATGCTTTTGCAGATTCTTCAAGTTATAATGAGATAATTGACCTGTTTGCACCAAAAAAAGCACGAAAAAAAAATGTTTAAGTAATATTATATATTATCAGTTGTATTACAATAATCTATGTTTATTTTTAATTAAAAAATATACTTATTATGTCATATTTATTTGATCGTGTTCAGTAAAATAAAAATATATATAGTAATAAAATATTGTTTGTACCTAAGTAGGTACCTACTCATTTTGTATATAATATAAAAATACAAATTTGATTTTACTAGTTTATATATAGGTACAAATTTAGATTTCTAACAAGACCTTAAAGTTTATATAATTAGATGAAAAAAGGATGTCACACTTTGCACGTGGGCGTAGCTACTGTATAGGTGGGAAGTTGGAAAGGTACGATACAGACGGGAATTTTATGTATATTAGCTGTAAGGAACAATAAACCAATGCTAACGAATAAACGATTTTGAGCGGAGTTTAGTTGATAGTGTTGCTTTGTCAATAATATATATATACGTCATATTATGGTAAAATGATACGAGTTTCCATGACAACAATTATAATTAAAAAAGATTAAAATAATTAAAACTTAATAATAACAAAAATAAATAAAAACGGTTGCCAATGACAACCATATTTTTAATCTTTCAATCTTTTCTAACCTAAAGCACTAGGTTTTCCTCATTATCTCGAATATTAAAGAGAATTTCAAAAAAATATATCTCTGTAGTATCACCTAGAGAACATTTCCTTTCAGAAAAGGTGCTATACTTGATAATCGGAGTAAGCTTTCTAGTAGAAAAAGTGTTCACATAAAAAGAAAAATATAAACATCATTGTAAAACCAATACATTCCTCACTCCACTCAGAATCTAATAAATTAAGTCCAGTAGAAAATAAAATAAATAAATATAGATATGATAATATAAATATATATGGGGCTCCGTTAAATTCTACACCATCAGGCTGGCACTGGAATAGTATTATGTGCAAATGGTATGTTTTATTATTATATTCCAACATAATTACGTAGAAAAATAATAAGACGATCATCGATAAGATCGAATACGGCCGATGATGTTCCCAAATAAAAATAGCACTTTACGTCTGATAGCAAATTTTTTTTTTTGATAACCTAATTTTTTTGTAATATTACTTAGATTATGAAAAGGTTTTGGCACCCCAGTAGTCATGACGTCCGGTGCATGCGCACTTCTCGCACCTCCCTAACAACGGCCCTGTGTTTTTATCTATTATCGTATTTACGACATCAACGACATAGAAGCGAATATTTAATTATTCAATAATAACTATAATTATAATCATTACACAATAATATAATATACTATATAATATAAATAATATAAATAAATATATAAATAAAAATAAAATAAATAAATGAATAAATGTGTCGCCTGGTAAATTATAAGTATATTATACGACCGGTTTCAAATTCAAAATTCATCATCAAGTATATCATATTAAAAATGTAAAACGCGATTGAATGTAAAAAATTAAATGAAAGAATACACGGAAAAAAAATTATACAAACTGGTCTTTTTAAATAGACAAATTTATTTTAATAGGAGATATTATTTAAAATTAATATTTAATTACTTTATTTATTTGCGAGTATTAACCATTTTAATAATTTTGTTTTTATTTTATTATTTTATTAATTAATAATGATTATTATAATTACAAACGACGGTCATTAGACTAATAGACACGAATATTATCATTCTGTCTAATAGTTCACATGTTAAAGTGCCTTCCTAGTGAAATTCTTTTATAAACATTGCTATCATTAAAAGTTGGAGCAAAATTGCCGGTTGAAAAGTTGTATACAGGAAAAAAAAATAGTTTAGTAATATATTTCGTACATTTTCCCGTTTTTTTTTTCGGTTTTTCAAGTTTTATGAGAAAAATCTTGAGAAAATCGAAAAATGACATTCTTAGTATCTCCCCACACCGATTTCCTTTCAGAAAAGGTGCTGTACTTAGAAATCTGAGTAAGTCTTCTGGTAGAAAAGTTGTTAACAGATTAAAAAATTAAATAAAATAAACAATTTTATTAAAACATAAGTTTCTTCGCTCTACTCAGAATCTAAAATATTTTATTTGATAACTTCTGTTAAAATTAGGAAACAAAATATCCATAGACATTACATATATATATATACTAATTTAACTTATAGACAATATAGGTAGGGTTATTATAAAGTTCTTAGACCAAATCCGGACACCAGTTTAAAAATAAATAATAATCCCCCCCCCCAAAAAAAACCAAATAATATATTATAAAATAAAAAACAAATAATAATATAATGTAATAAAAATATACGGTCATTTTCTTCAGAATAAATTATCGAGTCGTTATCCAGCGGTAGGTAGATATGAAGTGAACAAATTGTAATATAAATAGAAATTAATATTAGTAACTTTACATTTAGTAATACGTTAATATTTTATGTCAACAACGATAATAATGGGCGAAGTACTGAAGTCCCGGGAGAAATATGAACAAAAATAGAAATTACAAATTATACTTATACAGAGTGTAACACAAAGAAATTATAAATTATACATTTATACCACGATGTAAACAGAGTGTAAAATGAAGATCTGATAAATAATATAACTTTCGGACTGATTAAAGATATAGCAGTGTTTTTCGTTAAATATTGTAAAATCCGGACATTTCCAATACGGACGGGTGTTCGAAATTCGGACGTATGGTAACCCTAACTATAGGCAGTACTGCAGTAGAGTATTATACACTATACATTATTACGTCAATATAATATTATAGTATAATATTTTCAATCATGTTATTTTTGATTTTTGAATAATGAACGTTCAATGCGTGGAACAATAACAACAGACAGTTGGCGACTGTTCGTCGTTCAAATAAACTACAATAGTGATTAATGATTAGTGACAATATTCCATAGTCTATAAATAAACCATTGGGTTTTCACTTCTTGGTACAATACTGAATTAATTCAATTATTAGTCAATCTATTTTATTATTACGATTATTTATCGTATTTTTATTACTCGTGAATTACCCAACGTCAAAATACGTGAAATACCTACTTTTTTCACATTAATTTTCACTTTTGGTGTTTTTGAACTGGGGGTGCCGACGATCCCCCAAGTACCCTCATTGTTGCGACAATGCGTATAATGCATTTTAATTACAGTGAAATGTCAACTATAGCACGAGGCACGGAAAAGAGATAACACGAGGCACGGCCGCTAATAAAGTAATAAAACGTATTGCTGTGCGAAATATTTTTAAATTTCCGCGAACTGGTCGTCTTGACAACGAGGTTGCGGGCGTGGTTACAGCTCGCCACGAGCCACGAGTACGACGGCGGTGATACGGCGCACAACGCTATCTCTCATTCTCTCCAGCGTTGCATATATTTAATTTTTACAATGACGCCATCTTAACGCGTCGCGTCATAGTTTGCGCAGGTGTGTTGCGAGAATCGACCATAGATAAAAGAAAACGACAGAATAATATATGCCGTCTAAAACTGTTGTCTTAATAACAAAATATATCCGATTTTTTTTTCGTTACCACGTGCACGACGTGTAATCGTTTGACGCCTTCATACATTTATTTGATATCCATTCTTTAATTATATATATATTATATTTTAAAATGAGTATGGAAATCGTGAATTCTTTGGTATTTGATTACTTGAATTTGATTGATCAAAATCTTGCAAACGTGTTTCAGACCAAGACGAAATACGTGAGTATTGTACATCATTTTTATTTTTTAAGATACGAAATTGGTTTGTGAAGGAAACAATCATGTGTATATGCTTGATTTTTAAAGTTTTCACTAACCATAAATCCACAAATCGATTGTCATCGTTTTCATTTTAAATAAAATAAATTTTTTTGAATTTACTTACATAAACCAATACGATTTGATTATTTTTGTTTTTTAACCTAATCATTAATCGAAATCAATATATTTAACTTCTGATTGTATTTAAATGTATGTTAATTAAATGTTCAACTTGCATTTGTGTAAATAAAAATTGATCTTGTACTTTAGTCAGAACTGAAATGTTTGATCCATAATATTTGATATTGAAGTTTAAACCTTAATTGTTCTTAACTTTTTTTGACTTTTTGGATGAAGGTTTTTTTTTTCTCAAGTACTTAGATATATTAAATTAAATTATTATTTTGTATGCTTCTTAAATAATCTTACATCTTTGAAGATAGACAATTGAGTGAGATATGCATATAGGTGCAACTAGACATTTGAACAAGGGTGTGCTTAAGCTCCAGGTTTTTTTTTGAATTCAGTGGGGCCTTTTTTTTTTGTTTGTTCGAAGCAATGCCCAGTGGGACCTACACCTAACATTATTATTTACCTATTTGTAAATACAACAACTAAAAATATATTTTATTAAAATTATTTAATATAATATTAAATATTAAAATCCATACGTCAGTTTTCCTCAGAGTATTCATCTAATATAATAAGCCAAGATTATCAACAATATCTCTCTTGATGTGCAATAAGGAAAGATTTCTGAAACTATCTTGTATCATAGATGTTCTAGTTTTTGATACAAAAAATTACTGAAAAAGATCATTCATATGATGCAGAACTGATAAGTAGTATCAGGGCTACTTTAAGTAAAAAATTAATATTAGGATATACTTCTTTAGAAATTATTTTTTTAAATTCTTCTAAACCAAAACTTGGTTCTAACTGTATGGCACATTTGAGTGCTACAATCATTTCACAGTGTAATTCTTCATTATTAATAGAAAACAATGAAAAATAAATTAATAATTACGATTATAGATGTATTAAACAATTATTATATTCCATTTATATATATATATATATTTATTAAAATTGACTTACTTGGTAATGATTAATTAACATCATGTTTTTATCTATATTTAATTTCATGAAAACAAAATAATTGATAATATGTTAAAACAATTTAATACAATAAGTTATTAATCAAGAATCAATATTTTTTGTTTTATTTTTATTACACTTAATTTATTATTTTATTTATTTGAAGTATAGGTTGCTTTGGAGTCGAATTAATATCACCCAAATCAATATCACCCAAATCATCATACTGTATATTCAAATTTAAAATATCCTTTTTTAGTTGAATGTTTTCATCACCATTATGTTCATGTTGTTCGTGGTTACATATTTTCCTTACTTTTGATTCATCACTATCAGTCGCGACAGCCTCGTCAAAATTATTTTTTCTTGTTAATGAATTTTGTTTTTAATGTTAAAAATTGGAAAGATACTTAAAATTAAGTAAATTTAAATTATAAATATTATAAAAAAGTATAAAACTAGATTGGTTTAAAATAAATAGAAGAAATATACAGTATTAATAAATAATGCAATATGCCAATATCTTATTACCTGCCACCGTCTAATGATCTAACACACCACCCCATTACAAATTACATGTACATTATACAGAGTGACATATTGCCGGTATGCCAATCGTTATCATGAAGAAAATGTCAATCTCTCAGAAGAAACCAGATTTTGTTACTGATTAAATAACAGTATAAATATATAATAATATTGCAGTACAGAAAATTAAACTTGGGCAGAAAAGTAGTGCTTTTTTATTTCTAAATTAAATCAGCACATTCAATTCAACATTATAAATAATAAAATGTTATATTATAAAAATTGCTAGTGTTATTGTAATTCGATAAATTATTATGTTTTCATTAAAACATTTTGAATGAGTTTTTAGGCGGTGCTAATGTTGGCTTATGATGTGCTAAGAACGCACATCATAGCTGTGCCAAATCTAACCCTATGCAATATTTTGAAATAAACACATGTATCTATGTCTATCCTTTCATGCATCTAGTGATAAAAGCTAATCATAAGAAACACTGAATTTTATTAAATAATTTTAACTTATAACATACTTAATAATTATTTGTATACATAGCTATCTAAATATTTGTTGTAATAATTAAAAATATGCCACATACCTATCTAGATTAAAAATTAAATTTAGATTAATATTATTCAAAACTATGTTTCTAAAATATTCAATTAGTGTTATAGGTTTAATATTCGTATCTATTATTTTAGATTATTTTTTTGAAATGTATTTGTTATAGTATTTTATTTCTTTGATCATATTTTTGTTAAATTAATTCTTAATTAAAATGTTTAGATAAAATTGCGGAGTGGACAAAATAAATTAGTACAGATAATTAATGAGCACTTAGAGTATGTATAATTTGATTTATATTTTATCACAACTACTTATCTATAAGATATTTCTTAAATCATCTAAATTACAATATTTTTAGTAATTCAAAGAAGATAATTAACATGCAGAAAAATGGATCATGTAAGTTTCTTTTTAGTACTTTAAGAGTTAATTAAATATTTTTGTTCTCTAAGGTTATGTAACCAAAACTAGTAGTAACTGTAATAATTTATGTACTTTAATAAGACTCATGGATTTTGATACTGATTGCTTTTAGATTCTGAAATAATTTTTTTACCACAATTTGTTCTGATTTTTAGGTGTGGCTCCTTTTTAGAAAGGAAATTGGTGTGGGGAGGTACTTAAGGGAATTAATTTTTCAAAACCGAAAATCGAAAAAAAGGGAGGGAAAATCTGAAAAAGCACGAAATATTGTTAGTAATATAATATAATTTCAATAGAGAGTTCATTTTTTATATTTTGCTAATTTTCCCAATAAATCTGGAAAAGATAAAGGGAAAACTTTAGAAAAATGGGAAAATAGGTACATTATTGAACAAATATTTTTAAAGAATATATATATTGCTTATGTAATTATTTTATCGTAATATATGATATATATATATATATATATGTATTGTTGACAAAGCAACTACACTATCAATTGAACTTGGCTCAGAATCGTTTTTTAATTAATGATAGTTAATTGTTGCTAACAGATATACATTAAATTACATTTAAGAGTGGCTGCACCTTTCCCCATTATCCTAGGATATCTTTTGTTTCTTTATTTTTTATTTTCATTAAAAAAACTTAAATATATTTTTAAAAACTTATTAATTTAAGAAAAAATTGATTTCTTACTGGACCTCTTAGAACTCTTGAATATTTGTATAACTTAATTCTTCTGGTTTTTATTATTTTATTCCTAACAATAATTGACATTGCAGATTGATAAGAAAAATTGAAGTAGGTCAAGGAAGTTTAAAACATTGTACAAACTATAAGGATGTCTATAAATATTAAATTTAAAAAAATTATTTTTAACTGATTTTTGCATTACGTTTTGTTTAAGTGTATTATTTAACTTGACTAATGGACAGTATTCTAGGTTAGAATGAACTAAAGAAAAATAAAAAAGTTTTGGTGAAATATGATCAGAAAAAGAACCATAGTATGCTTAATGAAACCTAAATATTTTTGACTGAATAGAAACATTTGATTTGGTGTTAACGATTATTCCCAGGTCTTTAAAATCAGAGAAGAGATATATAATATTGATAGTTCATTGGATTTTTCATATGGTTTTACATTTTCAAAAATTTTTTGGATTTCGTTTGACTAAAGATTGAAATTTATTTATATAATTATTGTAATCAAATTTACAAAGTTTTTTGCATTTAGCCCTCAAGCCGGAAAAATTTAAGTATTCAGTGATATTATATTTTTTATTAGAAAGCTGAGCAAATTTTTTCTCTTTAGCTTCAATCAATAGCTTCAAATTAGTAGAAAACCAAGCGGGGAATTATTATTATAAATTAATTTTCGGATAAAAATATTAATTGGGTCATATAAGATAAAGTGAAAATTTTTGACAAGGTCATTCACATTACCTATCATATTAGTTGAAATTGATAGTAGATTAAGAGTTATCAATACATTTTACAATTTTGAGGTAATCACAGTTTATGAAGTCATAAATACAATTATTAACAGGTAAAATGGTGATCTGATTACAATTTAACAAGATATTGTTGCTTATCAATTGGTGATAGTGGGTCAGGGTCTTTAGAGATAATAATATGAACATTAGATAAAGCTAAGTCTAAGATAACATTATTATGGTTACGTACTGAATTAAATTGCGATAGCATACTAGTAAAATAAGTGTATTTGGGAATGGAATTTGAGTGAAAGAGAATAGAGAGACCAGTCTAATAAAGGCAGGTTAAAATCACCTAGAAGAATAAAATAAGCTTCAGGATTGGATAGATATAATTTATTAATTTAATGCCAAAAAATAATTCTCATAAGAAGTTATGGGTGAAACAGGTGGAATATAGACACAAAAAAGTATAAAAACCTAAATGTAGTTAAACAATAATATATTCAACTCTAAAACATTGACACTTAGAATTATATATTTATTAGATATTTTAATTTTGCGAGTTATTTATTTGTGAGTAATTATTTGTGGATATAATTGTTAGATTAAACAGAAATGTTTGAATATTTAATATAAGGATCATAATAAGTTGTATTTAATAGTAAACAAGAAAAAGTTCAGTATAATGTGGTATTTTTTTTTTTCAAAAAATTGAGTAATGTTTTTTGTATGAATTTTAATATTAAATTTGGATAAAATTATAAATATTATGGTTTTTTAAAATAACCGATCTCTGTTCAGAATTGTTTTTTGTTAGCAATGATTAATTGTTGATTATAGATAAAAGTCCCCATCATATCTTACCTTTTCAACTTCTCACCTATAACAGTGGCTCATTTACTATGCAAAGTATGTTCTTTATTTTTATACTGGACTTGCATTATACAAATTTGATATATTAATGTTTTGAGAAAGTAATGAATTAGAAAGTATTGATAATATTATTAAGAATATTTTTATAAATTTGATATCACTTTGGTACCTATTGTTAAATTTTAGTAAATAAGAAATAAGTTGCTTATAACAAAGTATGATGTATTTGTTTAGCTGTTGATAAGATAATTAAGATGAGTAATGATAAACCGGTTTCTGCAGTTCAGCCTTATGAAGAAAGTTCTGATAATGAACCTCCTACAAAAAAACGTAAATATTATAAATAAAATATTAACTTAATTTTATTGGTAAATAATTTAAAATTACCATTTAAATAATATTGTATATTTATATCATAAGTTTAAGGATTTATGATTTAAGATTTTGAGTGGAGCGAAGAAGCTTATGGTTTTACAAAGATGTTTTTTTTCCTGACAACTTTTCTACCAGAAATTTTGCACCAATTTAATTGATAGCAATTTTTCTAAAAGAAAATTTGATTGGGGAGGTACTTTAAAGAGATCTTTTGTTTATTTTCTCACTAGTATTCCCAATAAATCGGAAATCTACAAAAGATCAAAGAAAAGCTGGAAAATAGGTACAATATTGAACAAATATTTTTAAAGAAATTATGTTTAATTGTTTTACTATAATATAGCATATATATTGTTGACAAAGGATCACTATCAACTTAACTCCGCTCAGAATTGTTTTTTTTTGTAAGCAATGCTTTATCCCCATTATCCTATTGTTTCTATTGTGCACATAATACAATTTAAACAATATTATTAAAAACTATTAGGAATAATTGTATTGTTATATAGTATGTGTTACAACTGTTAAACTGGCCAAGAAGGATAAATTAAGTTCAGAGGAAGAATCTGTACCTCCTGTACCAAAAAATCCCAATACTAAACTTATAATACAACCTACTGGTAAAAAAGCTACAGAAAAATCTTATGATGACAGCTGTGAAGAAGAAACAGTAGTTAAGACTCCTGCTAAAGATCATAAAGTTCCTGAAGAAACTGTAATTAAAACACCTAAAAAAGTTGCTAAAGGTATCAACATCTATTATTTATATAAGTTACCATTCATGATCAAAATTAAAATTAATAATTTTTTAGTATTGTTAGATCATAGATGTGATATGATTTATTTTGAATGATTAAGAAGGGCCTTTTTCAGAGTTAAAAGATATCATTGTATTTGTCCTTGTACTGGAACTAATTCAGCAATATGAGGTGTTCTAAATTGTTATCATTCTGCTTTTAATTCTGTTAATATACATTTTTTTTTTTCAATCAGATTTTGTGCAAGAACATATATATATGTAGAGAAAAATTAAATTTTAATTTCATTCTTAATCACTGATAACAATAACTTTATTTTTCTACTTTTTTAAATTTTCAAAATAGACATTTTGTTAAAAGATATTATTGTACATAATTGAATGTAATATACATTCAATAGTTCTGATCAATAGTTTCTTAGTTTCTTTAGTGTTTTAATGTATAGAAAATAGGTGTGAAAACTATTAATATTTAATAGAAGATAAGAAATTACTGTACTGATTGTGATTCCTTATTGCCTATTATTCTATTGATGTTACATCTTGGGAACATGAACAGATAACAAAGCTTGATAAATAATCACAAATAATGAGAACATAATAACTGGGAATTACATTATGTATTGAAAATTAATTTTTTTCTCTCCAAATTTTCTAGAAATCAAACCAGAAATTATTAAGAAATTTAATTGGATATGAATGTGTGTAATATTCAATTTTTAGAATAATATCTTTTTTGAAAATTTTTAAGTGATAATATAAAGTTTTTTTTTTCAGTAATTAAGGGGTGTTAGAACAAATACAAATTTTATCTATAAATGTATTCGCACAAAACTGGATTGAAAAAAAATGTGAAATTAATATTAACAGAATTATTAGCATAAGAATAACATTTAATGAACCCTGTATATTAATTTGAACTTTGAGCAATATCCAGAAAGAGCATTGTCAATGTAACAAATTATTCACTAGGTAGTTTGAAATTAGAAATTGTGAGTAATCACCTGTAAATAATCATTGGTGTCATGATTACTATAATCTTCAACAATTTAATTTATTTGCAATATCGTGTTATGATCGGATTTTGTCCTTGTGATGAGACTAATCCAGCAATATATTGATTGATGTGAAATTCATTTTGGCTCGGCAGTTTTTTCAGACCCTAAATTAATTTTTAAGTTGATGGATGATTTGCTCTTAAAAGTAAACTGAATCCCTTATACCAGCCTTTAATATTATATATTTTGTTTTGAGAAGGTCATTTCGAGTTGATTTATAGCAGTTCTAAGACTGAGTCCTATACAATTTAGTCTGAAGTAGTTTCTAAAAACATTCTATATTAGGTTCTGGAAAACTATAACTGAATGAATTTATTTGAGCATTCTCAAAATTAGTTAACACTGACAGAAGACAGTCCTGGTTTGAGCTACTTAAGTTGATCTAATACACAGGAATACGGTTCCTGACATTTTTTCCAGCAGTATTGCATAAGTAATTAAGAGAACTTTGTTGTATTTTATGGCGTATATTTTAAAAACTTGTTGGAAAGGCTGTAATGCCATTCTGAATATACCATTAGTTTATCAATGCTCACATGTGACCATCAGGTCTAGATTTTTCTGAGTGCTAAAGATATTACTTGAAGTACCACTATCAAATTGTAAAATGTTTTCTTCAGTTGCTGTGAATGAGTATTTTTCTGAAACTAATAAATCATACATATTTGTGAAACAAGACATTACTTCTGCAGCTTTCTGCTATGCATTAACTATGTTACATTTTAATGGAAAACTTCAGGGAGAATTCTAGCCACTGTATAGAGGACCAAAATGAGTACAAAACTGGACAAAAGTGAATAATTTGATGCTCAAAAAATAGATGATCTGTTATTACATTTTGATGGTAGTGGGATAAACCTAATTAAGTCTATTTATGTGTTATCGTAAAATTAATAATTAATATACTGAATAACAAGCTATAAATATACTATTATTAACTTTCTGTTTTCTGATTTAATTTCTACTCTTATAATACTTGTTATTATCCAATATAAATTTAAACATTAAACTTCAAATAACATCATTAAATATATTGATTAGTAAGTAATAATATATTACTTTTTTTCTAAAAATTGTTTTGAAATATTCTATTTTATTATTAATGCTAGTTAACATTATTGTTGTTTTTCTTATGTTATTGACCTATTCAAAATGAATGGTGCACACTGGGGTTTAAAATTCAATTTAAATATTTAATTACATTAGTGGGTTATATTTAAAAAAAAAAAAAAAAAAATTGTCTGCCCTAAAGCCTAAAAAGGAATTTAAGTATCTGTCTAAATATTTAATATTATTTGTTTATTGTTATTCTATAAAAAAATTGCATACAATTTATTATTATGTAAATTACATATTAGAGATGTGATGAATTGTTCGATTTTTGAACTGAAAATTGCAAATAATTACCAAACCAAATACCCAAATGTTCGGTTTTAAATCATTTGATGCCAATTCTGTGTGATCACCAATACTATGTTCTGTGGTGGGATAGAGCAATCTTGTTATGAAAAAGAAAAATTTAATTTTTTTCACATAAGTATGTCTCATAATCTTAAATCAATATTATTGAAATTAATATTAATACAAAAATTAAGAGGCACCAGTTCTTTTTCCAAACAAGTTATTAACTAACAGCCAAGGTGAAGAAATACTACTAAAGAAGATATTGAGGTGCAATTACTAGGCTACCTTAAAGTAAATTCTAAGTCATGTTTGTAGAGAAATAAACATTTCATATGGACTAATTAAAAAAATTAAAAAAAAAATACATAAAATGCATGCTTATTATGTTAATTTAGTTCATAAGAGCAAATTTATTATTCTAACAAGACAAGGCTCCAGCTCAAAATTCAAATATTGTTACAATAACTGCAATTACCTCAATTTTCTAAATCGGTAGATAGGTACTTAAGGAGCAGTTCAGTGGCTACCAAGGTCACCAGATCCTACACCACTAGATTACTTTCTCTGGGAGCACTTGAAAATAGTAGTATATGTTGTTCCATCTACACATTATCTTCTTGATTTAAAAAACAAAATAATTACAACATGTAATCAAGTTACAGAGGAACAAATTATTTGTGCTATCATCCAAGAATTTTTAATTTGTGGTGAATGTTGTTAAGAGCACCAAGGTGGACAGTAAATAAATAAAGACTACAAATAAAAAACACTACTGTTTGTACATATTTTCATCTTTATTATTATGTATTTATTATTATTGATTAGGTAGGTATTTTATAATCTGTTATAATCTATTATACCTCTGCAAATAACATAAAATATTAAAATTGCTATAACTCAGCTATTTTTTTAACTTAGAAAGGAATTTCTAACTACTAAAATAAATTAAAAATACAAAAAATAAGAAGTTATTGTGCACATGCTCAAAATAAATTTTCACAAAAATAGTCAACAATTATTTGAAAAAGTGTATAATTATTTTTATTAGTAGTTAGCCTAAGAAGTAAAATTGAAATACATGAAGTCTACTCAGTGCACATAATTATTGAGTGTTTCCACTTATCATGATCACACTGTATTTAATTAAAAAAATAATTTTGAGTATGAATTTTTTTTTGCTCCTATCTGTGCAAAGAAAGCTTCCTAGTTGAAGCTTGCTATATATGTTCTATAAATAATAATAATTTTGAATATGTACTTTATCAGCTATTAAAGGTGTAAACAAAAGTCAAGACAAATGTAGTTCAAAACAAGCTGTGTTGAAAGCACCAGTTAAAGGTGATAAATATACAAAAAATTTTAATTCACAATTATGTAATGCTAATTTATATTGATTATTGATTATGCAATATATTTAATATTATTAAAAACATTTAGAATATGTGTTTTTTACTTTAGATCCTTTTGTTGCAAAGAGAACTCAAGATGAATCAAGTTCTGAAGAGAGTTGGGAAGTAGATAATACAGTAAAAACTTCTGTTGAAGGTGAAAAATAAAATATTAGATTAATTCACATTTATCTAATACTAATCTATATTGATTATTGATTGTGCTATAAATTTAATATTAATTAAATAATTTAGAATAAGTGTTTTTTCTTAGATTCTTTTGTTGCAAAGAGAATTCAAGATGAATCAAGTTCTGAAGAGAGTTTAGAACTAGATGATGATGTCAAATCTTATATTAAAGGTGAAAATTATAATATTAGATTAATTCAAATTTATCTAATGCTAATCTATATTGATTATTGATTATATAATATCTTTAATATTATTAAAATAATTTGGAACTTGTATTTTCTTTAGCTCTTTTTGATGCAAAGAGAATTCAAGATGAATCAAGTTCCGAAGATAATTCAGAAGTAGATAATACAGTAAATACATCTGTTGCAGGTGAAAAATAAAATATTAGATTAATTCACATTTATCTAGTGCTAATCTATAGTGATTATTGATTATGTTATACATTTAATATTAATTAAATAATTTAGAGTATGTGTATTTTCTTTAGCTCCTTTTGTTGCAAAAAGAATTCAAGATGAATCAAGTTCCGAAGAGAGTTCAGAACTAGATGATGATGTCAAATCTTATATTAAAGGTGACAAATATAATATTAGATCAATTTACACTTATCTAATGTTAATCTATATTGATTATTGATTATGCAATATCTTTAATATTATTAAAATAATTTGAAACTTATATTTTTTTTAGCTCTTTTTGATGCAAAAAGAATTCAAGATAAATCAAGTTCTGAGGCTTTTTCAAAAGTTGATGATGCATTAAGAAATTCAGTTAAAGGTGAAAAATATAATATTTAATTAATTCACATTTATTTAAGGCTGTTCTATATTTATTTTTGATTATGTTATATATTTAAAATAATGTAGAACTTGTAATTTTTTTTAGCTCTCTTTGTTGCAAAGAGAATTCAAGAAGAATCAAGTTCTGAAGAGAGTTCAGAAGTAGATCAAGCAGTAAAAACTTCTGTTCAAGGTGAAAAAATAATATTAGATTATTGATTATGTTATATATTTAATAGCATTAAAATAATTTAAAATATGTATTATCTTTAGCTCCTTTTGTTGCAAAGAGAATTCAAGATGAATCAAGTTCTGAAGAGAGTTCAGAACTAGGCGATGAAGTCAAATCTTACATTAAAGGTGCAAAATATAATATTAGATTAATTCACATTTATCTAATGCTAATCTATATTGATTAAGGATTATGCTATATATTTTATATTATTAAAATGTAGAATATGTATTTTCTTAAGCTCCTTTTGTTGCAAAGAGAATCCAAGATGAATCGAGTTCTGAAGAGGATAGTTCAGAAGAAGATAATGCAACAAGAAATTCAGTTGAAGGTGAAAAATATAATATAAAATTAATTCACATTTATCTAATGCTAGTCTATATTGATTACTGTTTATGTAATATATTTAAAATAATTTAGAATATGTATTTTCATTAGCTCCTTTTATTCCAAAGAGAACTCTAGATGAATCAAGTTCGGAAGAGAGTTTAGAACTAGATAATGAAGTCGAATCCTCTTTTAAAGGTAAAAAATATAATATTAGATTAATTTACATTTTCCTAATGTTAATCTATATTAATTATTGATTATGCTCTATATTTAATATTATTAAGATAATTTAGAATTTTTATTTTCTTTAGCTCCTTTCGAAGCAAAGAGAATTCAAGATGAATCATGTTCAGAAGATGATAGTTTAGAAATAGATGATGAAGTAAATTCTTCTGTTAAAGGTAAAAAATATAATATATTAATTCCCATTTATCCTAATTAATCAAATTAATGGTACTTATTCTATATTGGGGTTGGAACAGGTATTAAAAATAGTGGTACTTTAACTGGAACCTTTTGAAAATATTGGAAGTGGAACCTGAAATCCTTTCATCATTTGCTTAGGAACCTAAATGGGAACTTATATTTGTTAGATGAGAATTTTTCAGTTCCCATTTTATTTAACTATTTTATATATTTAGTTCATATATATTAATAGGTAGTTAATTCATTAAAAATTTGGTTGATGTTGTGAATATATAAGGGTATTTCTCACTTAGTAGAATAAGACATTTATCTGATTCTTAAAATGAGTTTATGGCTGATAATCAACCAATTGGTTGGTTATTTTATAAACTCTGTTTAAAAATAAACGTTAGTGACTACAGGTCTAATTGTATTTATAATTTTATAAACTCATAAGAACTCAAAACTATAAAATGTACACTGTATTTTTGTTAGTGCAATTGCTATATATTAAACCAGTTGATCCATTTAAGTAAACTCATTATCTTGGAAAGTATTAACTTTTTATCAGAATTTGTATTCTAGGATAAGTAAAAAACAAGCAGCTCTATAATTTTATATTTGTTACTTTTTGTCACCCTTATTTTTGGGATTAAAACTACTATCTACTTTTAATTTTAATTGCAGCCTTTAAAAAGTCCATAAATAGATAGTATTAGTTAAAATTAGTTTTAGCATTGAATTTTTTCAATTTCTGTCAAACTGTTGATCAGATACTCCACTATTAAATTTGGGTTGGAGTAAAGTAGTGTAGTATGATTTGTGTGGTGGTAGGGCAGCCGTGTTTATAATGCATCGGCCCATTAAACAACTGGAGTATTTATCCTACTTGACATTAATGTTCAGCACCATTGAATGATTTGGATAATCAATATACATATTATATGGTGCATTATCATTTAGCCATACCACATTTTCCCCCATTTTACATTAATTGTTCATGTTAATTGTTAATTAATTAATTAATTAAATTACTATGTTTCAATCTATTAACTAATACTTTTTAAATTAATTATTGTTATTGTTTTTCATATATAATTGTAAAAAAATTAACATGTTACACGAAAAAGTCACTCATATTGAATGTAATTGTATTAATATAAAATATTTAATAATTATGTTACTATCAAATAATCATTTTAATTTTTAAAATTAATAGATATCAGGATGTTAACAGGTGTTTCATCTGATTAATGTTTGATAATTTCTGAATAGTCTTTTAATAATAAATTAGGTGTAATAGGCCTAGATGTTTGCCAGTAGGGACATACCTTAAGCTATCCAACAACGTAGTACACATTTGAATAATGTTACTTTTATTGTTATTAGAATAACAATCAAGAACAAATTTTGGTTTACACTACCACTGATTTCCACTTTTTGCAAGTCCCATCAATCCTATTTTAAAAAATTTGTTTGGAAGTTTTAAAACAAAATTGTAAACTTACTTAAGTCCTTTAATCTTTTGAAACAGCTATAATTTTGATCTTATCATTTTTAATAACAATAATCATTTAAATAATATTTATACTTAATTTTTCAAAAAAATATACCTCTAGATACTGGTGTTTACTGGTTATTTTGAATCCTCCAATTATTAATTTGATCATATTTACATTTCTTCTATACAGAACTTTTACTTTGGTTTATGGTTGTTTATTTTTCTTATGCCTACTTACCTATGTTGTTCTTTTTAGATACAAATCTAACGATAATTATTGAGTTATTTCCCTATGAGATAATGATCTAAAACTCACAGAATGATATAAACCTTAAATGAAAACATTTTTGTTTACTATATAATTTTAGATTTATTAATTCGTAAAGTCATTCTTTTTAGATAGATTTCAGGAAAATTATTTATACTTACAAAAGGTGGTTTTTTTTATGCATATAAGTAACTGACCTTTTCATAACACAGCTGAGTGAAGAGCTTTAAATTAATGGGTCATATTAATACATATTATTGAAATTATGTTGTACGTCATCATGGCATTAATTATCTCAATTTAAAAACTATTTTTTTTTTCAAAAACTGATAATTATTTTAATTTCAAATTTTGATGTCTTGGAATTATACTTATATTTAATTTTTCTAATAATATGAATTATTTAACTAGTTACTATGTATATTGAACCTAGATTTACTACATACATACATACATACTATACTACATTATAACAAAATAACAAATACTTTTTATTTTTATTGATACTCCTATAAAGTTAAAAACCAGTATATTTTACAGTATCACACTAAAGTTATTATTTAATGGAAAATAAAATGTTAATGTTTGAAACACTGAAGTTTTAATATAGGTTTACTATGTAATGTATATATTTCACGTTGTATATGGGGTGAAAGCCAAAAATAATCAGACTTGTAGTAGATTGGATTCCCCCTGTACAAATGGTTGGGGAGCCCAAATTATTAACAGTTACACCAGAAACAAATTCAGTATCAATTTTATAATTTTTTTTTTTGAAAAACTGGTGAATTGGAACACAATCAAAAATGTCAGAGGTTTCAAACCCCAACTCTACATATTATAATAATTTTGAATATGTATTTTTTTAGCTTCTGGCGTTGCAAAGAAATCTTCTGTTGAAGGTAAAAATTATAATATTTTATTAATTCACATTTATCTAATGTTAATCAATATTATTCTATATAATATATTAATTGTGAGTGTATTTTTTTTAGCTTTTGCCAGTGCAATGAAATCTCTAATTAAAGGTGATGTATATAATATTTTTGATTCTGAGTGGAACTTATAGTTTTACAAAGATGTTTATTTTTTTTTTATCCGCCCAACTTTTCTATCAGAAATTTTGATCCAATTTAGAATGATAGTACTTTTTCTGAAAAGAAATCTGACTAGGGACATACTGTAAAGAGGTAATTTTTGATTTTCTCTAGAGTTTTTTCATCAAATGTGAAAAACTGAGAAAAAACAGTAAAATATAAGAAATGTAGGTATTTGTTAAAAAATATTATATGGCTTTTTTTTTCCTGTGAACAACTCTTCTACTAGCAATTATGCTTCGATTCACAATAGTAGCCCTTTTCCTGAAAGAAAATTTAGCTGGGAAGATACTCTAGGAGGTAATTTTTCAATTTTTCCAAGAGTTTTCTTGTTGTTTTGTTAAGAAAAATACGAAAATCTGATTAATATTAAACAAATATTAAAGTAAATATATAAAGCCTATTTAATTATTTTAATGTAATATAAAATATATATTCTTGATAAAGCATCACTATCAACTGAAGTCTGATCAGAATCAAATTTTTGTTAGCAATTGTTTATTGTATACATTAAATTCCTTTCTGTTTCCTACCTTCCCAACTTTCCACCTATAATAGTGGCCTCTTTCCAAGTATGTCCATCTTTTTTAATTTACATTTAGATCTTGTTAACTAATATAATGCTATATTTTTGTATATTATAATAGTTTTTTGTATATATATTTATTTTAGTTCCTTTTATTGCAATGAATATTCAAGAAGAATCAAGTTCCGAAGATGATAATTTAGAAGTAGCTGATGAAAAGGAAGCTTCACTTAAAGGTGAAAAATATAATAATATGAGATTAATTTACATTTATCTAATATTAGCCAATATGATTTTAATTAAAGTAAATAAATATAGTAAATAAATATATAAATACAAAATGTATATATAAAAATAAAATAAATAAATGAATCAATGCATTGCACTTATTATGATAAGTGTGTAGTACAACCAGTTTTGAATTAAAAATTCATCATTAGGTATATCACAGTCGAAGTGTAAAAACGCAACTGAATATAAAAAATTAAATGAAGGATATATAGAAAAAAAAAAGTATACAAATTGGTAGTTTTACATAGAATATAGAAATAATTTATTTTAATAGGAGATATTATTTAAAATTAATTATTATTAGACATAGATATGTTAAGAAATATAAATTATTTGGTTATTATTTATTATCTAAAATCTATTGATATAATATATTATTTTTAAAATTGGTTTGAACATATAAAATATTATTAAAATTATTTTTCTTTATTTCATTGTGTATGTGTAATTATTCTAAAACTGAATTAGTGTTAATAACATTGTTATTTTGGGTATTTTTAATATTTCTAAGTTTATTAATATCAAAACTTATATTATAGTTATTTTCTAAAACACGTTTAGTGAAATTTGAACTAGGGGCAGTCTTTTTAAATTTTATTTCAGAAATGTTTTTTACAGTTACATTTAAGTTTATATATACTAGCATTTTCGAAAAGAAGGGGGATTTTTTGTGAAGTTTTTAGTTCTATTGTTTATATGTTTGATTACATTATTTTTAGTCTTAAAAGCAATTTTTACATTATTTGGTGTGTTGCGTATTATTGTTTCTTTAATACATTAATGCATTTTTTGAATAGTACCTATTTAAATTAAAATAATTTCTATATTATAGATAATATTGAGCTCATGTTGATAATTATGTTTATTTAATGGAATACCTCCCAGCCTAAAGAATATTGTATTAAAAAATGATATTTTTTAAGAATAAGGGTGATTAGAATCATGTGGTATGGGTGATACATCAGTTTGTTTAGGTTTCCTGTAAATACTAAAATCAAATTTATTATTTATTATGGTAACTGTAAGATCTAAGAAATTAAAATTATTATACATTTGTATTTCGAGTGTAAATTGAATGTTTTTATTTATTTTGTTTAAGTAGTTAACTAAATTTTCTGCTTGTTTATTTGAACCTCTAAATAAAATGAATGTGTCATCAACGTATATATAATATGCTTTTATATATGGACTTTATATTTTATTAATAATATTATTAGTTTCATAATTTTTCATGTAAATTTCAGATTAAAAAAAGCACTTAAAGGACCACCTGTAACTAATCCATGTTTTTAAAAATATAATTTATTATTATATTGGAAATAGTTTTGATTAATAATTACATTTATAGATTGAATATTTTCTTATACTTGGTTTGTATTAAATTTATAAGTTCATATTTTAAAAAATGTATTGTTTCGTGTTTAGGAATGGTTGTATGTAAATTTTTGATGTCGAGAGAAACCACTTTGTAAACTGGCACAGTATTAATTTTATTTATTTTATCAATTAAATCAATTGTTTTTTATAGAAATATCAGTATTCATGTTCAATTTTTCTCTTGCGATAGTCTAAATATTTAGAAAGATTATAAGCTGGAGCAGTTTTAAAGTTAATTAAAGGACAAATCAGATTATCTTGTTTATGCAATTTTAAGAATGAATGTGTGGTGCCTCTATTTTATAATCAGTTTTTAATAATATTTTCTTTTGGACTTAAGGTATGATTTCTTTCTAATTTGTTATCAGTTTATTAATATGTTTAGTGTAAATTATAGTTAGGTCATATATTAAGTTTTGAATATTATTATTATTTATAAAATCTAAAGTTTTTTTTATGAATTTCATCAGTATAAATGATAATAATAGCATTAGATTCATCTACTGGAACTATTTCTGAATTATTTGTTTTTAATTTATTAACTATGATGTTGTTAATAATTGTATTTTGTCATTTAAATATACTATTATGTTTTAATATTTTATCAGGCTTAGTTTTGTAGTTTTTATTGGTGATATTTATTAAGTTATATCTTATTTGATTTTGAAATTTCATATAATTTATAACAGATAACACTGTGTTAATTGTTTTTTTATGTTGATATGTATTAAATTTATTACCTTTATTTAGTAAATTGTTTTTAGCTTTATTGAAAATTATGGAAGTTTAATTAGTAACTTGTGGTTGGAAAAAGAATGTTGGTTTTTAAGTTGTAATTTCTGTGTATTTTGTGCTACTAAAATATGAATTTTATTATTTCCCCTACGCCATTTTTCATTTGTGAAAAATGATGTGTATTATGTAGTAATTTTTGTTAGATGTAATTTTTAAAGTGTGAAGTTTGTATAAATTTTGGGATAAAGTAGTTTCTAAATTATTAATCTCCTACTATTACATTCTTTTTGTTGAATCAAAATTTTATTTCAGAGTTTAACTATATTGTCTCTTGCCCTTTTCTTGGCTTTGATTACAACTTCAGATGTACATTTAATATGTATATTCATGTATTTTGGAACAATTTTTTACAAGATTTATTGAAGTAGTTTCATATTGGTATTCATAAATATTATGTTTAAATATTCAATCCTGTTCATTAACTTAGTTGGAATATTTGCTTGGCCTGTTATAATAAATAATAAAATAATAATGTAAAAACAAAATTATTAAAACAGTTAATACTTGTATATAAATAAAAAATGTATGTATAAAAATAAAATAAATGAATGAATGTGTTGCCTGGAGTATTATGATAAGTGTATTATTATATGACTGGTTTTGAATTAAAAATTCATCATCAGGTATAAGACAGTCAAATTGTAAACCACACTAAATATAAAAATTAAATGAATCATTAATATGATTTTATATAATATAATATAATAATTTTGAGTATCTATTTTTTTTTTAGCTGTTGATATTGCACTGAAATCTATAGTTGAAGGTTAGAATTACTTATGATATTTTATTAATTCACATTTAGCTATTAATCAATATAATAATATATATTTTGTATATTATAATGATTTTGAATATGCATTTCTTTTAGCTCCTATTGATGCAAAGAATCAAGAAGAATCAGGTTCCAAAGATGATAGTTTAGATGATGAATGTTTACGAATACAAAATGTAGTGAAATCTGTATTCAAAGGTGAAAAATATAACATTAAATTAATTCACATTTATCAAATGTTAATCAATATGGTTTTATATAATATATTAATTTTGAATATGTACTGTTTTCAGCAATTGGTTATACAAAGAATTCTTCTGGTGAAGGTGAAATATATAATATATTAATTTGAATTTAACTTTTTTTATCAATATAATATTATATATTAAAACAATTTTAAATATGCATCTCTTACAGTTTATTTCGTGCAAAAGAATATTAAAAAAAAATCAAGTCTTGATGATGATCATGATTCAAAAGAAAATTATGCAGTGAAAGATCCAGGTAATGGTGAAAAATATAAAATTAGTTTAATTTATATCTGAAAAGAAATGTGGGGGGGGGGTTGGATAATACTTTTGGGAGATAATTTTTGATTTTCTCACTTTTTTTCATTTTAAAAGAAAAACTGGAAAAAATATAGGAAGACCTAAAAAATAAGTAGTAATTGCTTTATTATGGGAAATTTACAAAAAAAATGCTTTTATTATTTTTAAATTTTATTATTTGTTGTGATTCAGTTAAAAATATTTGTACAGATTTGAAATTTAAACAGAGAAATTATATTTACCTTTTCTGGACATGGTCAATTTTTCAAAACATTTTTGCCATTTTTAAGCTTTTTATAAAAATTATAATATTTTTGTTGAAATTTAATTAAAAATATTCTTATCGCTTCTATGGACTTAATACTTAAACAAAAAATTTGTTTGCATTTTTTTTCTTTTACTTAAACAAAGAAATAATGAATGCATTTTGGACTTAGAGACTTGTAGTAGATTGTAGATGGATATAGTACTCCCCCCAGTATAAATGGTTAGGAATTGAAATCAATAGTCACATAAGAACTGTTACAAATTTTTTTTTTTTTTTTGAAGAACCAAATTGGAACTAAAATTGATAAAATTATAATGGTTCCAAACCCCAATTGTACACACTGTAATAATTTTAAATATGTATTTTTTTAGTTTCTTTTGATGCTAATAATCAAGGAGAATCAAGTTTTGAAGATTGTAGTTCAGAATATGATAATTTGAAAAATCTTCATCCAAAAATAAAAAGGATATTGGAGGTTTTATTTGAAGGTGAAAAATAATATTAAATTAATTCACATTTATATAATGTTAATCAATGTGATTTTATATATTGTAATTATTATGAATATTTATTGTTTTTAGTTTTTGGGATTACAAAGGAATCTTCTGGTGAAGGTGAAGTATTTAATATATTAATTCACATTTAGCTAATGTTAATCAATATGATACTTTATATTATAATTATATTTGAAATGTTTCTTATTATATAAAATTATTTTTATGTAATAAGAACATATGTGGTAAAAATGGATAATTGTCCTACCGCTATTTTGTAAGTTGAAAAATCATGAATTCTAATTGTGTTCATAATTGTTTTTTTTTATTTTTAGCTACTACTGGTACCCCAAATAGATTTAAGGAAGAATTGTGTTCTAAAGATAAAATGGTGACAACAGTTAAACCAGTTATAAAAAGTAAATAGATATATATTTGCATTTTTATTATAATTTAATAATATCTGGTATTTATAATCTGAATACTTTTGTTTAGCAATAACTGAACCTTCTGTAGAAAAAACTACAGTAGAAAGTGAATATAGTTCTGATAATGATGATGAAGAAGATGAAACTCCAAAACCTTATGTAAATGTTGCATTTATATTATAATTTAAGAGGATGTTTTTAGTATAAATGACTTACAGTAATGTGGATCATAAGGAAATTGAGATGAATTCTTAAATTTTAACAGTTTAGCTATTTTATGTTTGGTGCTTAACTGTTATCATTTGTAATAATATAATAAAAACAATGATAGTTGGCTTATTAAAAATGATAACAGTTAAGCACCAAACATAAAATGGCCAAACTGTTAAACTATCATTTGTTTCATTATATTATTTATTGATTATTACATTATTATCTGATAGATATTTGAATAATCAACAATAATGCATTAACTTTTAGTAGTTCCAATTTTTGAAAATTAAATCCCATTCCTATGCATAAATTTCATATATTAATAAATTCAAATTATTATGATCAAATAAAATTTTTTCAGACAAAAGTTCAGCCATTTGTTATTCTAAAAATGGTGTAGTTGTATTTATAAATTGTTTATCACTGTTTTGGGAGAATTTTATTATGTAGGGTTAATTTTAACATATGGGTTAGATACAAAACTAACTGATTTAGAATAAATTATTAAGATAAAACTAGTATTAAAATATTATTCCTTATAGACTTCTGTGAAATAATTCTAAAGCAAAAGTAAGGTTTGCCATGATTTGATGGTCAACCTAAACCCAATATGAATAAAACATTTTATAAACTCATTTTTAAATTTTTAAATTTATATTGTTTCTATATAGGATGGAAATGGAAGCAACAACGACTTAGGTGGTGATTCCAAAGAAGGTTTCAAAAGCCTTAGAATAAATAGTGAATCACTTGGTGGCTTAAGTTCCCTTGGAGGTTTTAATCCTGATAATGATCAGAATAGTGGTGGAGGTGGAGGTTTTGGTGGTAACAGATCTGTAGGTGGGCATGAAGGTTTTGGTAGAAAAGGTGGTAGAGGAAAGGGATTTAGAGAAAAACAAGATGGTGGTGTTCATGGTGGAAATGAATTCGGGGAAAATAGATTTTCAAATTATGAGTAATATAAGTATTGATTTCAATTCTTCACCTCAAAATAAAAAATTAAATTTGATGATTAAGTAAGTATTATTCACAGATCATCAGAATGTGTTATTTTTAAAATATATTATATTGTCTTAAGTGTATATATATTTAGTTAATTCTGCAAGTTAATAGATTTGAATTTTTAAAAAGTTCAGTACAAAAGTTGGAATAAGAAAACTGCTCTAGGCTTAAAATTAATGAAACAAAATTTATTTAGAAATGAGAGAAAAATGTGGTTCTTACAAAAATGGACAAATGGATGTTTGTATTAATTTTGTTAAATGAAATGCTTAAATATACATAACATTTTTCATACATTTTAAGAACATTTTTTATCTGAATAATTTAAAGAACCTATTTTGTCCTATTGTCCATCTCCACAAAATATTAATTTTTCTTATTCAAGTATACACATAAGTACTTAAAAATTCCCCATTTTTAGAAATATTTAAAATTCTAGTGATTCAGTTATACTATTTATTAATTAGAAGCATCATTGTGTATTGTAAACATATAATATGAACTTATAAATTAAGAAAATTTTTCACTTTGTTCAGAATCTGAAATTATAATATAGTAATATAATGTGTATAGTACATTGTAATATTGTAAATTTCTTTATTTAATGTATGTGCATGCCTAGAATACTAATACTAATATTAACTTTTTGTGAAAATAATTAACTACAAAAATATTTTCATTATTTTATTTCAGGACACCATTAAAGAATCCACAATTTTAAATTCAGAAGCATTGACATTTTATTCTTAGACAATAATATACAGCAAATTTAAACAGTAAAAAAAAAAACAAACCTAAATTTATTTTTTTATGAATTAAGATAATTGTGACTAATTTGTAAAAGAACATATATATATATATATATATATTTTTTAAATTTCTTATAACTTATTTCTACTTTATCATAATTTTATTTTATTTATATATATAAAAAAAATATCTAAGTGAAATGCCAAGGTATTTTTAAAGTCTTGTGTACAATTATAATTATACTTGGTATTAGATAGTATTAGTATAGTACCGAAAACAGACATTAAAAAATATTTATATCTTAATAAAAATTATTTGTATTTTTTTTTTCAGTTTTTGTCATATATATATATATATTGTATATATATATATTTCATATCTATATATGTATACATGTAGTTATTTATTTATTAGAGTGAAGACAGTTTAATCCAATTCAATGTTTTACAACTAAAAACAAACTAAAATTATAATTAATTAAAATTAGAAATTAAAAGGAACAATGAAGTAATTTAAATTATAATAATTAACAGTTACAATAATAGGAATTATAATAATAATTGTTATAAAATTATTCACAAATATACGATAATAATATACAATATACTATAGTATTATTTTTAATTATTGTATTTTTAGTATGTACTTAAATATGTTAGAATAACATATATGATAATAAAGTAGGTCAAATATGTGTCACTTTAGTAATTGCTGTACCCAATAATTGTAAATTTGATCATGTTTGAATTTTGTAAATGTCCAATAATAATATTAAAATAAAAATATTTCAAAAAGTAATACATAAAATAGTTGTAGGTGGTAACTACTGTTTATAAGTTCTTTTTTGGTTTTTATTTTTATGACAAATGTTATTTTCTAAACTCAATATCATATACAATTGAAGTCTTAGTAAACTACAAACATAATTAAACATACCTATTTTGGAGTAGAGTACCTTGATCTTGATAGTGTGACCATATGAAGTGTTGCTTCATATGTCAGATTTGACCACCATTAGTTGATTATTTTTTTGTTTTGATAAGATGTTTCATCATACCTTACCATATATTTTATAGATTTTTAAATTTAAAAGCTTTAAGTTAAGTTGGTTGTTAAATCACTTAGTTTATGTTTTCATATAGGTATATGATAATTTTCAAAATTTGTTTTGATTTATATTAGTATAATCTTTAGAATACTTGTATTTTAATAATTAATTATCAGCTATAGGTTATAATTAAGTATTCCTAAATCAAGACACAAAATTATTTAGAATGTACCTCTTTGTAATATATTTAGTGTATAATAACAATTTAGTTCAATGTAGTTTTATTAACCTTATTTTATTATTAGATCATTTGTATTAAAGTTTTAGAGAATATAATTTGTTTTTCTTTTATCATTATATAAATGTAACATTTGCAATGTATTCAGAATACTTATCTTAATATTATACAATTTATATATAGATTGGTATTTATAATTTTTACATATCAAATAAATATGTTCGGAATACGAATATTTTTAATTATAATTTCAATTATATATTTTGAGTGAAGCAAGGAATGTATTATTTTAGTAATTTTATTAAAACACAATTTTAATTTTATAGAAATGTCTGATTATATTTGAATGTACAAAGTTTGGACTCATATCTGCGGTCCATTAAATAACATTAAAATATTCTGTATTGTTGTAATAAACCCAAAATAAATTTGCAATAACAATCTGGCCCACTTACTTTATATAATAATACCTGCTACGTTTATGACAGGATGGGTGGTGTTACACAGATCGAACAACACTTTACTAATGTTTAAAAACCATTTAAAAATTGCCTACATTTTGCCCCTAACCGATAGCCGCTAACAATATTGATAACTTATTATTTACTATAGGTTGTTAATTTGTATACAATTTATTTTTATTAAATATTTAAAACATTATATTATTATAATATTTTAATTGCATTTAAAGTATAGTAGCACTAGTAGCATAATGCAGTTTCTAATGGTTGGTAGAGAGATTATAAAGGAAATATTATTATATATAAAATAAAAGGTGCAACTATTAAAAAAAAAAAAAAAATGAGCCGACGCGGGACGCCTGGCAGATGTGAAACATCAAAAATTTTTTATTGTAATAATGTTGAAAATAGATGGTGAATAAGATGACTATGAAATAATTTTTAAATTAATATCATAAGACTATTTTGTTTTTTATTTGCATATGAAGTACTTAAAAGATTTANATGATAACTGAAATAAGCAACAAAAGTACGTGACATAACGTTATCAAGGTACTTTGTGAATACTCCATCTATAGCAGTTCCATATCTGGTTGTTGCTTCTCTTAGATCGTTATTAATAGGCAAACTAAATTTTTCTTGAAGAAATGTAATTAATTGTAATGAATTGTCTCTTGCGAAATTTACATTAAAATCTCCTGCTAAAAGTAATGGTAATTTATCCAAATTATCTTTCAAAAGCATCGATCCTTCGTGACTATATGGAAGTAATCGCCGATGTAAAAATGCAATGATATCGTTAATTTTTTGATTGGGTAAAATGTATACAATGACCATGAGAAATCAGTAAATTGTGAATCGGGATATACATCAAAAGCACACGACGGAGACATTTCACTCCGACCTGCATTTTGGTTAACTTGAAATTTAATTCTTCCATTATATTTGCAATATTTTCACTGTCACTGTCACTCATATTTCATTAGAAAATATATATCGTTATTACAACGGTCCGTTCAAAACAACATAATATAAAATATACATACACGTAACAATATAATCAACGTAATATACTATCAATTTATTTATACGCAACAATATAGGTGTACATATTATACGTTTATAAATCGTATAAAAATAGATAAGCCGATACAGCGCACATAGAGAGGAAATCGCCGAGCTTCGGAGAATTGAGCCGACGAGCTATAAGTGGGGCGTCGCCACGGCACAGTCGGTCTCACTACTGTACCGCGCCATAAGATGTTTCACATCAAAAATATATATATGCCATGAGAAATAACCAGAGAGTGCTAGGATCTGTACGTTGCGGTCAATTCGCCGTGACCCGTGCGCTGTAGATACCCGACAGACAGTTTTATTTTTCGTCAATAATCTCGCAAGCCCAACGTCACCGCCCCAGTCTTCTTTAGACCTTTGCATCTGCATCGCGTTGATGTTGATGCGTTTTCTGTTTTTTTTTAGAAAACGTCTTTTATATATATATATATGCATACATAAAAAGATACACCTTTTAGAACATTCGAAATATATTTGCGATTCATAATCATTTCGATTAATATAAGGTATTATTATCTTTTATCGTCTTATTAGTTTTTTATTTTTATTATTCTGTGCGATTAAGTAGTTGATTTCATTTGTTGTTTGACAGAACAACGGATATAATATGCGTTTTCCGGTACACAACTCTAGTATGTTGCAGGATACAATCGTTGCATATAATTCGACTCGCAGTGGCATGACCGGTTCAGGCGGTACTCACGTTATACCAGCCATGTTTATACAATATATTGGGCATCATTGTTCTACACAGACAATGCCCGCGTACGGTTTCCCAATTTCCGTATTGCCCTGGGTGCCGCATCCTGCTCCGTCGAAGCATTTCGCACAACTCCATATAGTAAATAATTATATACCTTTTTAACTCTAGTGTAACTTTCACGCTAAAAACAAATACTATAAAAACATAACAAATGGTTTAATAATGGTGTTTTTTTTTTTTTTTCATAAAAACTGTGTTGTTAGATTATTCTAAAAGCTGATCAAAATAATTCGGATACACCACACTCACTACCGATATGTCTGCATTGCAGATTGGAAACGGATTGGTAAGTTTCTTGAATTCCTAGGGCGTTTCCACTGTTAGTTAACTAGTTGTATACGTTCAATAGATACTTAGCAAATATCCCTAAAATTAATAAAAAGCAATAGACTAATGTCTGATTTAATTTATTTTTTGTTAATCGGTTAAAAAATAAAAAAAAACAAAACCTTCAAGAATATATTAATAATGGTACTGCTACCAGAACCTAACATGTTTTGGACCTGTTATTCGTAAAGAAATTAAGTTTTTTAGATTTTCAAATGAGTATTATCCGTGTTTTAGTACACAACCGGGCCACACCCCGGTTACCCAGGCGCTGCACCAGACATGATTCATACTGTTCCGATCCCGGCCGAAGCAACTGTATCACCAGATGACTCCTATTGACATCATTCTCAAAAGTAAAACAAAAACCATTCATCCCGAAATGAAACTTGTATGTAATATAGGTAAGGCTAGTAACCCATATTTTGTTTCATATTATTGTTCGTATAATTTATTTTTCCCCCTATTGATATTTTCTAACAATGCCATTTTCAAATTTGGATAGATTTGTATAATACATGGAATTAATTGTAAACATGAAAACGAATAATTAATGAGTTTTTCATTAGAAAAAAATAAAAATTAGTTTTTTATTGCTATACGGATTTCCCTTAAACGCCAAAAGCACAGTCTCATAGGATGTTCTTTTTCGTTGTTGCCTAGATTTTATTCTCGATTTAATTAAATATATTTTACATAAGCACTTAGATTTAAGTTTTTAATTAAAATTTTTTTTTAAATTTTATTGTTATTTGTACCTATTTTACCAGTAGGGACTCATTGAAATAGGTTACATAAGTAATATCAGTTAATATTTCTGAAGTTTCAATGTATAAATTTTATTTTGATGTATAATTAGATTATTACTTATAATTAAAGTTCGACGTCACAGCCAACTATGTATGTAACGAGTGTTATGATTCCAATAGATGTTAAATATACGATGTAAGTATTTCAATACAAATTTGAACAACTTCGTCTAATAATATAGTAAAATAGGTTATAGGTAATATAAGTAGTTATAAGTGTATAGCAATATTGTTCTCTTTTAAAACAGTTTTTTAAAAGTCAAACAGAATTTGAATTAGTATTTTCTGCCACGTATTTTTGTTTTAAAATTTATAATTATATATTTTTAAATTTTTCACGACAAAGAGTTTTTCAGAACAGGTCTTAAACGATAATTTTCAACCCAAACAATCTTCTTTTTCTCCGATTGGACCGACGACAAATAAACCTTTTCATGGTCTAACATTAAAAAATAATTATACTTACGAGCTTCAATAGTATTATATAGATTTGATTTAGAAAAATTAGCAACAATAAATACACCCATTCTGTTTTCGACTTTTCCGATTTTTTCGCCTTGTAAGCTTTGTGTTTTTCGATTTTCGTTTATCTGCAGTCGAAATTTTTTTTTCTACCAAAATTGTTACTGCTTTGAGTGAATGTTCATAGAAAAGTTAATATTTGTTTTTTCCTATTATATCATTCTGAATAAACCATAGTTATTTTCCCAATATTATTTGTCTGCTCTGACTTCATCAAAGATAAATAAAAATTAAAAAAAAAAAGTATAATACAAAATTTATAATTTTATTATAATGAATAACTAAAGTAGATTTTGTTATAAATTACGTACCTAGATTTAAGATGTTTTTTATTTGTTAAAATAAAATTATAATAAAAGTTATAGTTAACTGAATACTATGATGGTAATATTTCCAGTAGATGTTAAGTAGACATAAGTGTTTTAATATACATTAGAACAATACTACTAATATAAGTTATAGGCAATATAAGTAAATATAAGTGTTTATAGTAATTTAAGTCTATAGCAATATTGGTCTGTTTTAAGACATTCTAAGAATCAAACAGAATTTGAATTGGTATTTTTGGCGGCATATTTTCTTTAAAACAAATAATTATACATTTATATATTTTTCACAACAAAGAGTTTTTTAATGCAAACTTGAACAATCTCGTTTATTTAATATAGTAAATTAACATCAGTTATAGAGTAAAATTACATTACTCATAAAATATAATGATACAACACTTTATTAATTATGATTTAGGTACTTAAATTAAGGAATATTTACTTTTACTTTATACTTTTTAAGGAAAATCAAGTATAAAAATCGGCGTCAATATAAACGCAGGATGGTTAAAATCCAATCGCATTGTAGGAATTAAACAGACAACGTAAGTGTTTCAATACAAATTTGAACAACGTCGTCTTTTGATATGGTTAAATAATATAAGTATCTAAACATAGAATATAATTTTAAGTGTATATAAAGTATTTTTAGTATATTGGATAATTATATTTGTTTATTAAAATTCAATATTATATTCTTAATTAAACTTTCCGTCTTTGAGGAATTATTACACATCTAATAGATGAAATAATATTTAATATTGTATAATTATTAATACTGCGATTAACACTATATATACTGATTAAAGTTATGAAGTTAGTCCNAGTAAAAATTTTGTAAGTTTTGAACCGAAGCAATATTTTTGGTTGAGCCATAAATACTTGCTATTTTATCTATAGTTTTCTGTTTGGGTTTTCCCGATTATTTCGAAAACCTTTTGTAAAACTATCTCAATATGTTCCGAATCCAAAAAAAACACAAATAGTAAACCAATACACTTCAAATTTAAACATTAAACTTCATGATATGGTATAATAATAACATATACATTATATATTTTCTTTAATAATATTTCATTAATATTGTACAAATTTTCCCGTTTTCAGACTTTTTCCCTAGGCTATTCCCATTAATTATGAAAATTCTTGGAAAATCAAATTATAGCCTCCTAAAATTACCACCAAGGTCAGATTGCCTTTTACGAAACGTGCTATGGTTGAAAATTGGACCAAAATAATTGCTGATTAAAAAGTTTTTCTTAGACACGCGAAAGAAAAAGGAAATAAATAAATAACAAAAATCAATAAAAATACAGAGAATTAAATTTTTTATTTTATATTCGTGTCAAGTGCATAATAACAAAAACAATGATAATAATAATTTTAGTAAAAGATTACTTTTATAATAAAAAAACATTTTAAAAATGATAGAAAAAGAACATAGGGTAAAAAAAAATATAATATAATATGGTAATATGGTTAAAAGGAATTATAAGAACGTTATAGGACGTGGATTAGTGGAATAACATTGTTTAGGCTCAAAAACGAGCCACATTTATTCCATGGCATGTGCCTTATTAGATGTCTTCTGGTGCACAGGTGTGAGAGCAAGCTGTGCATGTGATGATGTTTTCTTCTCTGCATAGGCACAAGGTGTGTGCACTGGAGAATTTAAATAAATTCGTTTTACCGTCCGCGATAGGGTTCGGATAATCTAGCGTTTGAATATTCGAGGGTCGGATAATCGGGTGTAGTGTACCAGGGGCGTAGAGGCTCACCGAGACACCGGGATTTAAAAAAAAATACAGACACATTTCGCACAACGGTTGGGCCACTGTTGTAGGCGAACATTTATAAAGCTACGATAAATCACTGCCAACGAAATACAATTCTGATCGGAGATCAGGTTATACTGTTGTTTTAACAACAA